GTACTCCCAATGATAAAGCCGTATCCTCATGGTCTCTGTATATATTTGTATCTTGGCCTCTCTGTCCTCCGTGTCCCTCAGGAGAGAGCAGCCGATGACAGTAAAGAGGTGGAGGGTTTCCAGCAGCTTCTTTTGGCCAGAACACAGGTAAGATGGGTGAGGACTGCAGGGTGGCGCCCCCTTCAGGCTTCATCAGTACTGCATATCTTGACAGTTGAATTGTAATGCATTTGTCCAGTAATGAAACTGTGAGATTTGATTATATGTGACAGCTGCTGTAGTATAGGAAATTATTACTGAATCATTTTACTGTCCACAGTTTAGAAGGTGATGCACTGAACAACAAAGGCTGTGAATGCAAACAAAAGTCTTGGTCTTGTTGCTTTGTGTCTTTGATATTTTCTGGTAGGAGTTCATTGAGGAGATCCTGTCCCCTCCTTTCGGAGGAATGATTGCCTTTGTGAAGGAGAGCGAGGCTTTGATGGAGAAGGGACAGCTGGACAGGCTGAAGAATGATGAAGGTGAGGCCGGGAAGGCAGGTGGCACATGGAGTAACTCGCTGTCATGGCCGCCACTGGCATGAACTCCTACACCATGTTTATTAATGAATAAGATAATGATGTCGAGCCTTTCGCTCCTGTTCACACACCATCTTCGGCTCTCCTGCGCTGCTCCTCCCTGCTCCGGCCCAGCCCGCATCACCCAGCTGATCAGGGGCTTCTCCAGCACCTGGAAGCAGTCTGTGGAAGCTCTCAGCCAGGACGTCATGAGGTCCTTCAACAACTTCAAGAACGGCACCAGCATCATACAGGTCCTTCCCAAAGCCTCTGCTGAAATCTTATAGAAAATCATAAAAGTATCGATAGCCACATATACCATGCTGTACATCTTACCAAAGTGCTTATCCATAATAGGGTCGTTTGTGTACAAAAAAGACATTTAAAACGTCTTTCTTTAACACCAGTAATATCTGTTGTGTGCTGCAAATAGGGTTGCACAGGGGTGGAAAATTTCCTGTAAATTTCCGGAATCTTTTTAGAAACTTTCCATGGGAATTTCAGCTGGGGAATTTTAGAAATATTGAACTCTGTGGAAGTCTGCACGGGTTGTCAGACACTGCAAAAAAAAAACTGTATGAATAATACAACGTAGAATATGTGTCTTTTGATGCAGATGCTTATTTTGGGGTATTTTTACACACATAATTACAAGTACTTGGTTACACAATGATATCACTATTAATGCCATCAAGATTTTTTTTCAATTACATTTAAGTTCCCTGTTATAGGCTAACCTGCAATTTTGTACATTTCCAGTTTATTCCCATTAATTCACATATATTCCTGTCAATTTTCATATATTCCATATATTTCCCATAAGTCCCATGGAAAGTTTCCAGCTTTGAAAATTCCCATAATTTTCCAACCCTAGTAAGGAAAGCAGCCATTTTCATGAGGAATTGGACAAAGGAGGCTCCTCACTCTGCCTGTTGTCACCAACTAGTCCATCAATCTTTTATTGTTAAGATTATTCTGCAGGCTACCGCAATCCTGTTTTTTTTTTTTAAACTATGTGTCTGTCCACCAGGGGGCGCTGACTCAGCTTATCCAGTACTATCATGGTTTCCACAAGGTCCTCTCGCAGCCCACTTTCCGCAGCCTGGCCGTTCGCTCAGAGCTCATTAATCTTCACCACCTCATGGTCGAGGTCAAGAAGCACAAGCCCAACTTCTGAATAGCATTTTACTGGGGTGAAGCAGGTTAAATAGATTAATGGAAAAGTGAATACGTGTATATTAGTATCCGTGGGAGAACCAGCAATCCACATCTGTAATCCGCAAATGGACTTTACCAGTGTGGATCTCCATTTCTCACCTATGCATCGTCATGTTCTGTGTATTTACTGTCCATAAGAAAAATCATACAGTTCATGGTGCACAGGAATTAAATGTCATTCCAAGAAGGAATGACATTGTTTGAATTGTGTGTGATTTAGAAGGAACGGAGGAGTATGAGATGAGATCAGGAGGAAAACTGGAATGTTTTGTATTTGTGGATATAATTGGTAATTTACTCACAAAAAGTATGTATTTTACTGTGCTTTAATTGTGTTTTGAAAGAAAGTAGGGGATGCCATTGGTCAGCTGTTGCATGGTCATACAGTACTTGCACATGTGCTGAGAGTTTTCCTGGAGCTGTGTTTCATGGGGGTGTGGTGGTTAAATTTCAGTGTGTCATTGAAACAATACATAATAAAGGCACTGAGGTGGGTTGGTGCCCCATCTTGGGTTATTACCTGCCAAGCGCCCTTGGCTTACAGGATAGATTCTGGACCCCCAGTATGCAGGATGGATGGATGGATGGATGGATAATAAAGACATTCCATTTAGTGTTGTGTGTCATCATAAATCTATGCTTTTGACAGCATTATTAAAAAAAATAACTGATCAGTAGTCTTTTACTATTTGTTGTGGGGTGTCACTCATTCTGTTAATTGGAATGCTTGATTAAACCTCGTTAGAGGGAGACCTGTTTGGTGTACGTTTGTATTTTTTCATGAAAAATACTTTTTGATTCCATTAAATCAAGCAGAGGTCTACCCCCTGAAAGTAAATGGTGTTGGAAATAGGCCGACTCAGAACTTTTGCCGTTCTGTGCCATTTGGAAATTTGGGGCCAATGGTAAGAACATAAGAAATTTACAAATGAGAGGAGGCCATTCGGCCCATCAAGCTTGTTTGGGGAGAACTTAACTAATAGCTCAGAGTTCTTAAAATCTTATCTAGCTCTGACTTAAAGGAATCCAGGGTTTTAGCTTCCGCTACACTAACAGGAAGACTATTCCATACTCTAACTACACGCTGTGTAAAGAAGTGCTTTCTCAAGTTCATTTTAAAATATTTTCCTGCTAATTTCCACTTATGGTCACGAATTCTAGTACTTAAATTAATATTGAAGTAGCCATATGGCTGAACAGCATCCAGACCTGTTAGAATCTTATATACCTGGATCATGTCCTGTCTTAGTCTCCTTTGCTCGAGGCTAAACAGATTCAGCTCAGCTAACCTCTCCTCATAAGACATTCCTCTAAGACCAGGAATCATTGTTGTAGCCCTACGTTGCATCTTTTCCAAGGCAGCAATGTCCTTCTTAAGGTATACAAACCTGCACACAATATTCTAGGTGGGGTCTTACCAAGGAATTATATAATCGTAGCATCACCTCCCTTGACTTAAACTCCACACACTTAGAAATGTAACCCAACATCCTATTGGCCTTTTTTGAACCTTGCAGTACCCCACTATGAACGCAGGCCCACTGTGACATTGTGCCTCTAATAACTACTTGCTGCTTCCTGTCTGTTAACCAGTTTTTGATCCAAGCTGCTACAGTTCCTAAAATCCCTGCAGCTTTGATCTTAAGCAAGAGCCATTTGTGGGGGACAACATCAAAGGCCTTTTGGAAATCTAAGTAGATCACATTGTAGGCCTTATTGTCATCAATTTCTCTTGTAGCTTCCTCAAAGAACTCAAGTAGATTAGTTAAACAGGATCTACCTCTCATAAATGCATGTTGGCTATCCCTCAGAATGTTATTTGAATCCAGGCAATCTACCATTTTCACTTGGATTATAGCTTCTGTAGGATCACACATGCACATATCACAGGGCCTAAATTCCAGGTGGCCTGAGACAAGGCCGAGCCTGGTACGAGAGGCACCAAAGGGGGGTTACACACATAAACACACACACACACAAAACAAGGGAGGCCAGCACTCCAACTTTTATTGCCCAAAGATTCAGGGACCTACAGACAAGCAGAGTGGACCTAATGGACAGGGGTCCCTCGACTTGGCACACAACCCCTTCCCCAGACATCCTGCCTTGCATACCACTCACCGAACAGACCAACACCCTAAAGAAAGTTTCATTTAAGTTTGGCTTTTGTATACCCTATATATAGATTTACTCACGACTACTAGTTTCAATATACAGATAGGTTATGTTTGTATGTGTCCTTAGACAATCTGAGTGTTTTGTATGCCACCCTTACAACCATGTTCACGGAGTATCACCTATTTCACCCCTTTGCACTTGAACACATATAAATTTGAATAAATAAATAGGTATAGCTACCACTGCATATATATTTCCATGGTTATACCAGAAGAATGTGGAAATTAGTGTAACCAGTGTGTCCTAACTTTTAGAGAGTCTTCTTTCTATGTTTAACAACCCCCCTTCTCTTCCAACATTCCTTTGTGGTCCTTATCTGATCTTGGTGGACCGTTACCAAGTTTCGTTGTTCTAACATGCTATGTTAAAAGAACTGAATTAAGGTGTACCTTATCCATTCTGGAGAAGATCAATTGGGATAAGCCACACCAATCAAGATATGTTGTGCCCAGATGTGCAACTTATATTGATATTGCCACAAACTAACGGCCACACCTATCTATGGATAAGATGTGCTGTTTGTAATGTGAATATTTGATGTAATGTCTGCACAAAGTGTAACATCTGTTGAAGTGCAACCCAAAACACCTGTATACTGATGTGAATCAGTCACATACATAAAATAATTAATGGTTTAATCAATTCATACAGATGATATGAGCTGTGAACCTGTGAAGCTAGTATGGCATGTTTGGTGTCAAACTGATGGAAAATCACTCCTGATTCCAAATCTGGTCAGTGGTTACCATGAAAGTCAGACACTGACATTCTTGCTCAATTCCACAGTACAGTATCAGAAGGCAACGCTGGTGCACTGTGTCCTGTTTGGGGGATACTGTGGCAGACAAGAAAATACCTAATTACGAGATAGTAAGTCATAATTACAAGATAAGGTGTCTGTTTTTCTTTTTTGAATGTAATGCACTTCCATATACATAAGAACTTGATGACAGCCTTCGTTTCTCCCTGGTGGAGGACTTTGTGAGATGGTGCAGGTCAAACCATCTGCAACTGAACACAAGGTTAAAGAGATGGTGGTGGACTTCAGGAGGTCCAGGCAACCTCTGTCACCAGTCTCTATCGGGGGGGTCAACGTGGAAGTAGTCAGGATCTACAAGTACTTAGGGCTACACCTGGATGACAAACTGGACTGGTCAGCAAACACAGAAACACTCTATTTCCTGTGGAGGCTGGGGACCTTCAACACCTGCAGGAAACTGCTGCTGATGTTCTACCAGTTGGTCATTGCCAGTGTCCTCTTTTATGCTGTGGTCTGGTGGGGATGCAGTATCAGGAAGAGGAACATCAAGCAACTGGACAGGGTGGTGAAGAGAGCTGGCTGTGTGGTTGGCACAGAGCGGGACTCCATCACACCAGTGGCAGAGAGAAGGACCCTTAACAAACTTCTGACCACCATGGACAATGACAATCACCCTTTGCACAGCACAATCTCCAGTCAGAGGAGTCTGTTTAGCGGTCACTCTCCTGCTGAGACTGAGGAACTCTTTTGTCCCTCAGGTAAGTCTGTCCGGGCGAAATTCATCACTATCAGCGGGTGATCATTAGAACCGATTTTTTTCTTTTTTTGTACAAACTAAATCACGCTATAATACAGTACTGTGTATAAAAAATAGCTTATTGTGGTTTCACTGCTGCATCTCGATGGCTCGTTTTAGCTGTTTATCATAAGGTTTGATGAGTCTATATTTTTCACTGAGAGAAAATGACTTTTTTTTCCCATCATGTTTTCTGTGCATGGAGCAGGTAGCCAGACAGAAGCAGATGGGTTACCACAAGGCAAAGTGGGGCTATCAAAAAAATAAGTATCGTAGTTTAATTTTTCAATATGTTGCCATGTATTAATATGTAATATATAATTTTATATTTTTTTAATTCACATCTTTATTTTGTATAGTAGCAACTAATATACTTGCTCTGATAATCTCACCATTTGCACAGCCCTATACACAAGCAGTGTTTTCTCTCGTTCCCGCCTTTCTTTTCTGGCATTATCAACTACAAGGCTACAATGCGCGCTCTAGCAGAAAGAATGGAACGCTAAAAATAAAATGTGTCTAGTTAAAAAGCCCGCTGAATGCAGACTAAACCATTTCGTGTTTTTGCAAGGGGTGAGGGGTGGTCTGTCTTCAGACACTATATACAGTATGTGGGATACAAAATTCAATCTATCAACTTTATTCAACCAAAACATTCAATTTACATTAGTTAGCAACATTCATTGTGACCTTTATTTATGATAGTAATATTGAAAGAAAAATAAAATTCCAGACTTCTCAAGGGCCCTCCCCCAACTTTGGGCCCTGGTAAGATAGTCAAACTTTTCCCCACACTACGACGGATATTTCGTCTGTGCGCCAACCTCCCCATTCAGTTTTTTCCCCCAGTTTCACTGAAGCACAGTACATTTCCCGTGGTATAATAAGCCCAACATTGTGTTCACCACCCAACAAAAACAAATAACAGAAGCAGGTTTGTCAACTCTCATACATCTGCCGTGACCGGGGACATGCACAGGGCAGGGCTTAAGGTTGCCCCGGCAACCGCCTGCCTGCCTGCCCTATTTGACTAAAAAAAAATTGTCGCGAGCTTTCGCTGCCCGAAGAGGAAAAAAGATGTGCAAGTCATCTTCGTCAGGAAAATGACATTTCGTGTACGTTTTTTTCCTTTTCAGTTTCTCAGAGCAAACAAATACACAATACTTGTCAGATGGCGGCCGTAAGCTGCTGAAATGAATTTGCATCGTACCTGCGGTTTGCTCGCTATACTAGCCGGGACTTTCCTGAATAGTACTATCCAGCACTTTTAAACAATCCCTTTATAAAAATACGATAACAGCGGCCCCCGCCTCTCGGTCCCAAACTCAATAATAGTATTATAGTATTTAACATCTAGTTGGCTAATATGCGTTTCCATCCCATTTATCTGAACAACAATAATTATTATGTTAAATTGATTAGTAGTAACAATAATGGAATAATGGCAATATTACTATTAATAATAACATATACACACACAAGTAGCTTGTGACATTCACCCTGCCGTGTCACACTAGCAACCCTGTAGAAGCAACCAGCTCACGTGCTACCGGGTTTGTACGCACCTGTTTCACTTAAAGTACTACAAAAAAGCGAACTAAAATATTTATAACTGGTATAGCAAGTCACCGAAAAGAGGACACACACACACACAAACAAATAAAACGCAAACTTCTGCAAAAACGTCACATAGGTACAGACTGTTAGCTCAACCACATTTGTATAATGCTCTTTCAAATTCAAATTCTCAGTTTTCCTAACATGAACAGGAATTCCACAATTCTAAACCACAGACATTTCCCTTATTTTCAAAAGAATCCAAGAGCATGCAGTGCCTTCATCTCTCTTCTTTCAGGAGCAGACCGTAAGCACGGATGGC